CGTTGCTGTTGCTGCTGCTCTTGCTGCTGCTACTGCGGGCCTCCATATTTACAGTTGTGTGCGTACGTGGCTAAACCCTAAACCCTAAACCCTAAACCCTAAACCCTAAAACCCTAAACCCTCGGCCCCCTCTAAACCCTAAACCCTCAGTCCCCCTAAACCCTCACAGCGTTATATCAGCTGAGCATAATGAATACGCCTCCAAACCCCAAACCCTAAACCCTAAACCCTAAACCCTAAACCCTAGAGCCTCTCAATATGGCCTCTAAACCCTAAACCCTAAACCCTCTGAATCCAGCCTCTAAACCCTAAACCCTAAACCCTAAACCCTAGGACTGTTTAATGCGGGGAGGAATTAGGCTGCACGTTACGCAGCATATTCAGACGAAACCCTACAAAGACAAAAGTTGCTGCTGCTGCTGAGCGCTGCAGGTGAGGTACATCTGCTGAGCCTGTCTGCGCTATATACTCTTGGCTAGCTGCAGCTAGCTGCTGCTCCACAGCAGCTAGCTGCTTCCCCATGTCCTTCACAGCCTCCTCCACCTGTCAGCAGCAACAGCAGCAGCAGCAGCAGCAGCAGCAGCAGCAGCAGCAGCAAAAGGAAATATGCAAATACGGAGACGAGAAGAAGAAAAGGAGAGAGAGACAAAAACCCTCGACCCAACCAAGCCAGGACACACCAACCCCCAAACCCTAAACCCCAAACCCTAAACCCTAAACCCTAAACCCTAAACCCTAAACCCTAAACCCTAAACCAAGGCTTTGTGTTGCTTCAGAGCTGGCTCCACCTCTCCTACTGTTCTCTCTACGAGCACCCCCCCCACCAGCCGGTAGCAGCGGCGTGAGGGTTCCAGGGGTTTGATGGCGTCTAGCACCAGCCTGTACACACAAACCCTAAACCCTAAACCCTAAACCCTAAACCCTTGCTGAGGCTTGGGCTTCTTTCTGCCCGTTGTCGGCCGCTGCTCCTCCTGCTGCTGCTGCTGCTGCTGTTGCTGCTGCTGCTTCTGCTGCTGCTCCAAAGCTGAATCTGCTGAGTCTGTCAGGATTCTCGTTGTGTACCCATCAAGGGTTTAGGGTTTAGGGTTTAGGGTTTAGGGTTTACTGGTGGTCTGCTGCATCCTCCTCGAGCTCATAGAGAGTGTTGGTGAGGCTGCGCCGCTGCTTCTCTAGGCGGTGTATCTTCTGCCGCAGGGTTTCATCGCTTGAGGGGCCCGGGGCCCCCTGTGGTTCAACCATGAGGGTTTAGGGTTTAGGGTTTAGGGTTTAGGGTTTGGGGTTTGCTGCGGCTTAGGGTAGAGAAGCAGCTGACGGCAGCAGGTGGTTCTGCTGCAGCAGCTCTGCTGCAGCAGATGTGCTGCTGCAGCTCCAGCTGCAGCAGCAGCAGCAGCAGCAGAAGCAAGCAGCAAGCAGCAGCAGCAACAGCCACAGTATCTACAGGCGCCGTAGGGGGGCTCCCCTGCTGCACCTGTTTGCTGCTGCAGCTTGCGGTGTATAGACACCAGAAAAAAAAAAAAAAAACAAAAAGCTGTTGAAGTTTCTCTGGTTGAGTTAAAATCCTTCAAAGAAATATCTGCTGCAGCAGTTGCTGCTGCTGCTGCAGCAGCAGCAGCAGCAGCAGCAGCAGCAGCGAGCCGCTGCCGCTGCTGCTGTGGGGCCCCAAATGCATGCACCGAATTTTCTGGTTTGTGTTATTAAACTAATATTTTTTCAGTTTTTATTTATTTATTTTTTTTATTTTTTTTTATTTTTTTATATTTTAATTATTTTTTTAGTGCGTAAACATTGCTGTTGCTGCTGCTGGTGTATATGTGTATCTCTATGGGTTCGTTTGTTATACAGACGTAGCTCTGGTTGTTTGTTTATTTATATTTATATTTATATGGATGCAGCCTGCTGAGGTTCTCTATAGTGCCAGGCCAGCGCATGCATGCATGCATAGAACGGGGCTTGGCTGTGCATGCATCTGCGGCTGTCTTGACGCAGCAGCAGCAGCAGCAGCAGCAGCGGGGTTTTGTATGGAGCAAGCAGCAGCTTGCTGCGCCCCAGCAGCAAACACAGGAGCACTGACACGGCCCCTCTATGCCTCCACCAAGCCTATACAAACGCAAAAAAAGTGTATAGAGCGGTACAGCATGCAGCAGCGCATGCAGCAGCGCATGCAGCAGCGCATGCAGCAGCGCATGCAGCAGCGCAAGCACTGTGTATGCTCCCTCACACCACACACCAGCAGCTACGCTGCGTCCTCCCCTGCAGCCCCAGGCCCTGAGCTGAACGCCCAGGATGCCTGGGGACAGGAGCGGGGTCTCGGGGGCTTCTCTCACTCCGCGTATTCACCTTCGTTGCAGCTCGCATCTCTCCTTGGATGAGACCAGAAAGCACAAGTTAAACTCTACGTAGCATGCTCTGCACAAAGTTAGCGGAATAACATTTGCTTAGCTCTTGTAAGCTGTCTGCAAGCTATGCAGATGCTCAGTATGTGAATAAAGATATTCTGCATGCAGCACAGAAAGTTTCGCTGTGCATGCGTGTGACGCTGGCTTGCATCGTTGGCTGCACCAAGGTGCTCTGCAACTCACAGCACGCCGCCTCCTCCCCCCCCGTTACCCCCCCCCCCCCCC